GGCTTTGAAGAGAGCATAAATAAATTCACTTTTAGGTCAGATCCCAGGTAAAAAGGAGCTGTCTGTTTGAGAAGTGCTGAGCATACAACTGGATAAATGAGACTTGGATTAAACTGCACGAGTTGTGTGAGAGTTTATGAGCTGATGTTTTGATATAATTTTTCTGTTGTTAAACGTGGACCTCCATGACTTCAGTTAATCAGTTCATTTCTCTGTTTTTGGATTCTTCGTTCACCGTGGAGGCATGCATGAAAAACAAAGCTTACTTCACAAATTCAACGTAACATGGGTTGAATAATGGATCCACGAATTGTCATTTGGGGTGTGAATTCCTAGAAGTATATTTCCCAAGATGTCAAGCTGCTCCTTTAAGTTTTGATTCATGTCATGGCCTCATTCAGGCTCCTCACAGATGTGATTGTTTTTACGACTATGTGTTACATATGTGTGTCCTTGGCTGTGGGGTTAAAGCACGCTGCTCTGTGCGACTGTGATAGAGCACACTGCAGGTCTTCCAGATTCCAGGCTTTCTCAGTGGCTACATGCACATCCAAGCATGAAACCTAAAGCAAGCAGATAGCTCAGTGTGAAATCACACACAGTGGGAGAAAGCCTGCAGGTTTAAGACTCATGAACCATTTTTTTTGCATCCGTGTGGAACAGTTAAACATATAAAGCCATGATTCTTGGCACGTAACGGCAGGAGTTGCTCACCCTTAGCGTTCATAATGGCTGCTTTGTCGTTTGTTCGCAGCAGAGGCGGAAAAAAGAACTGGCTAACATCATGACAGGCCAGCAGAAATACAAAATACATGTTAAGATTTGGTTCACCAGCAGTCTGAAAATATCTGGTTTGGTGATGATTGTGCAGCTAGGCATGAGTGCGCACCCAGCTTTGTGTTTTTCCATATTTATCTATAGCATGCCTCATTTGTGACTCAGCAGCACCACCACTGAATCCTCAAACAGGGGTGTAGATTGTTTACAGACACCACAACCGGCTGTTGTCCGTTTTCAGTCGACACTGTCATGATGAAAGGAGTTGTACAAACACATTGTTATCATTTTTTGTCAGTTCACTCTCTGTTTCCTTTTTCTTTCTAACAGTACCCACTTCAAACTCTGGGTTTTTAGGGAAAACCTCTGCTTCCGCTGGTAATGAGAAAAGTAAACAGTCATATCAGATGGTTGTGACATTTCACAAGAAAGTCACTTGGTCAGCACTTGGTTCCGTACAGAGCCTAGATGACCAGGAGGATAACCAAATACAGGGATAAACAGAATGACAGAGCGATAAACAAGCTTGTGCTGCCAAAAAAAAGAAGATAGATCCTTTGAAAAAGTGAAGCTTGGTTGAGGCTCAGGGCCAAGGGAGCTGTATTGTAAACAAACAATTAAAGCAGGGTGTTTTTCTGGCTTCTTTCACTCAGGCTGAACCTTCTGTCCCGGTTGCAGCCGAGCCAATGCGGTGGTGAATTTAAAGGCCATTACAGTACAAGCTTCCACTCAAGACACTGTGAACACTGGTATAAACAACAAAATAATTGTTTCTATTTAATCTTAATCGTACATAAAGGCCAAATTATGTTGTGGTTAATACAAGATTTATGCTTGATGTAAACTCCAGTTTCAAAGATCTAGTAATGGCTCATTTATGCACAGCGTTAAATATAATGCAGCTATATTTGTGCATGTTTTCTGAGAGCTTACAGATACGGACAGAACAAAGCAGTACCACCAGAGATCGGGGAGGAGTGTAGTGTATTCTAAGCGAGATAAAACTGTAGGAGGCGATGAAGACATGTTAAAAATGGCGGAATTGAACATATCGGTTGTAATAAAAAAATGAATTCTCCGTCAACATCGCGATGTATTTAACAGCCTCACAGACCACCACTGTCTACAATGCTGCTTCTGTTAAAAGGTACATTATTATGACCTATTCCTATGTCGACATGTTTGTTGTTGTAAAAAACTTTTGACCCTGCCCTCTAGCACCATCTATTGGATGTATCTATGCCAGCATAAAGGACGCACGTATGTGGGCAACATGTGGGAGTATAAATCAAGCCTCCAGGAACAGTCCTAAAGCCAATATTAAATAGTGGCCAAATGTGGACTTACAGTGTCCATCATGTAACGCCATGGGACCCAAAAAGACTTTTTCCCATAGAGTTACATTGTGAATTATCCATTCATCCATCCATTTTCACCCATTTATCCGGGGCCAGGTCGCGGGGGCAGCAGGCCAAGCAAAGCACCCCAGACGTCCCCCTCCTCCTGGGGGACCCCAAGGTGTTCCCAGGCCAGATGAGATATGTAATCCCTCCAACATGTTCTGGGTCTGCCCCGGGACCTCCTACCAGCGGGACGTGCTCTGAGCTCCTTACCCTATCTCTAAGGCTAAGCCCAGCCACCTCACAGAGGAAACTCATTTCGGCCCCTTGTATCTGCGATCTCATTCTTTCAGTCACTACTCAAAGCTCATGACCATAGGTGAGCATTTGGACATAGATGGACCAGTAAATCAAAAGCTTTGCCTTCTGGCTCGGCTCCCTCTTCACCACAACGGACCGGCACAGCGCCTGCATCACTGCAGACGCTGCACCGAACCGCTGATCCATCTCACACTCCATTCTACCCTCACTCATGAACAAGACCCTGAGATACTTGAATTTCCCCGCTTGAGGAAGTAACTCGCTTGAGTTACTGAGTTATTGTGAAACAGACATCTGTAAATCAGTGGATTAGTCTTTTTTGAGCATCACAACCCCCATGAAATAATTATTTTCGCTAACGTGATTTGATCCATTTGGTCCGTTATATTTCGAAAGACGAGAAGAGCCGCAAGATTAAATCATTGAAAGGACAACTTCGGTATTTTTCAACCTGGGCTCTATTTCCCCATGTGTATGTGTGCGTATGATTCATGGGTACCACTCGTTCTAAAATTGGTTCAGTATTGAGCCGCGAAACGAGCTAAAACGGTAACGGGGGCAAATGCGTCCCGTATAAAAGTATAAAAGTTTTTTCGCCACTGACCGGTTCAGATCGCCAGTGTTATCTCTGTAAATAGCATATGGTAGCGGCTCTGGGGCAGTGTTGAGTGTGAATGAGTGGAGTCAGCTGTCAGTCAGTGTTGGAGCAGAAAGGCGGAAGTTGTCCCCGCTCTGTATTGTAAATGAGTATGTGTGTGTGAAGTGTGTGTTACGCTAGAAGAGTCAGAGGACGGAGTCTTTTCCGTGCTACCCCCTGGAGTGTTACCGGAGTTTTTGGAGTGCTCAAATAAACGGGCCTTTTTCCCGAACGCAAGAACAAGATGTCGCACAACACCCTGTACAGCTTTCATAGGCTGCCTTTGTCGGACGGCGAGATGCTGAAGTTGTGGCTAGTTGTGCTACAAATGTGCTAACACTCCTGTCCAGACACTGCGCCTTGCAGACCATTGGGTCTGCAGTGCTCACTTCTCCCAAGATGACTACTGCCAGCCGAAGAAGAGAAGACATCCAATCCCGAAACACCTCTTCCTCAAGAAAACGGCTGTCCCACGAGTAGAGAGAGCTACAGACACAGTGGAGCAAAGCTCGTGACATCACACAGCCCAGAGGTAAGGGAAAGGCTAAGTTAGCATGCTATTTACAGAGATAACACTGGCGATCTGAACCGGTCAGTGGCGAAAAAACACACACTTCACACACACATACTCATTTACAATACCGAGCGGGGACACCTTCCGCCTTTCTGCTCCAACACTGACTGACAGCTGACTCCACTCATTCACACTCACCACTGCCCCAGGGCCGCTACTATATGCTATTTACAGAGATAACACTGGCGATCTGAACCAGTCAGTGGCGAAAAAAAGCACTTTTATACGGCACGCATTTGCCCCCATTACCGTTTTAGCTCGTTTCGCGGCTCAATACTGAACCAATTTTAGAACGAGTGGTACCCATGAATCATACGCACACATACACATGGGGAAATAGAGCCCAGGTTGAAAAATACCGAAGTTGTCCTTTAATTGCCATTTACGTTAGCAGGGCACCAAACTGAAGGTTAACAGCTTGACTGGTCAAAGTCTCTAGGGCACTTGCTCTATGGGCCCCACAATGCGGAATATTCAGTTAATTTAATACCATGAACATTAAACTTTTCAGGCTTTATGTGCCACCAAATAACTTTAATAGGAATAAACGAGGCCCACTTTCTTCATGTATCCAGTTCTCTTTATATGTCCATGGTATAATTGAGTCTTAAGATGAACGCAGACTGTATGTTCTCAGGTCAAACTCAGCCATCAACACAGCTAATTAAACAGCCATTTTGTATTCATAAAACCACTTGTCTGAACTACATGAGAGACATGTTAATGTGCTTTTTTGGAGAGAGAACATTTTGCTGGTGCTAATTGAGCAACATCTCACAACAAATACTTAATTTACTCTCCAAGCCCATTAGTTTTCCCTTCCAGTTCCAGTTGTGTATGGCACTTGTCATCAGTGGTGATTGTGCATAGCTTTGGGGCCCAGCCATTTATTCATGATGCATTTTCACATCTGGTGTGTGTTTTGCGAGTTGAGAGCTGGTGCAAAGCAACAGAGGCCGAGTAGTTGCCCAGTTGCGGTTGGTTTTAATGGGTTGGCTGCTGAAGTGTAGCTGCTGCTGCTGTTGTTGTAAAAGGGTTTACCATTATTTATATCTTATAATGCTTAGCAATTACATAGATTTTGGCACTTTTTTCAACTTTGACTCAAAGAATTTTTCTTCTCTTGTGTGTTGCTGACTAGATAATTTGCAGTTTTATTCTGGTCCTTCTACACATCACCATGCTCTGAATTAATGTCATAAATACACATACATTTTTCTCTAGCTTTTCTTAGCATTTTCATATGTGAAGTTTCCCCCCCACCCCAGAAATTGCTGTTTTATCATTACATTTTCTTTATCAATCTAAAAGTAAGACTTAAAAGGTCCCCTCCGTTTGACTTTCTTTATAGGGGTGTGTGGGAAAAATCACTGGTCAGTCAAAATGGCCACCGGCAGCCTCTTTATCCATAAGGACAGGCTGGCAAGACAGCTGGTGTCGTGCCCACATGTCCACAAGCTGAGACGAGGTACGTACAAACCGCACAAGCACCCCCTTTGCCCTCTGAAGGGGAAGTGACTCGTCCAGAATTAGCTGACGGAACAAGCAGTTGTTATCAGAAATCCCTGGCAGCGTCACATCCTGTGTTTTTAAGTCTTTTCTCATCGTGATTTATGATTCTATCATACTGTTGTTGCAATATAGACGTGATCACCCACATGATTTCATGAGGAAAGAGCATCCGCATCACTGCCTGCCTGACTAGCTGATGAGTGATTACTTCTCCTACTTTGGCTGTGTGGCGTCAGACGTCTATTAGGGTCTCAACTGTTTGCCCAATTTTCTACTTCATGGCTCATTTCTTCATTTCAAAGCTTGATTTTTCAGAGGCACTCAGAGGTCCTGTCTCTGCCAGTTAGAGCAGGGTCTCACGAGGTTAAGATTCATACCTGTTTTTGTGTTAAACAGTGCAGTGCACATGTCAAATGCACAGTGGCCTTGAGAGCAATACGTTCACTTTACTCACCTAAATTAAATTGATTACACTGCAAAAAACACGCCATAACATGCACCTGGACAGCGGTCACTGCTCCGTGCTGTGACATGTGATTCTGAAAGTGATGGAAATCCTCTTTTCCCTTTGAATTTTAATTCAGGAATCCGCAGCCTTTGAGCCTTAACCTGGTGATGCTCCGCTACCCCTCATGTGGTAGCTTTAAGCCTGACTTGATTTTATTCACCCTTCCTGGCTTCATTCAGCCTCATCGACTGCCTCTTCCAATTTTCAGACATCAAATGACTCGTCCGGGGTCGCGTAGATCAATTTAGTTTGTCATGTGTGAAATGTAGTTTAAAAGTGACAGTTCAAAGTTTGAAATGCACTGCTCAACCGCTATCTAAGAAAACATGAAAGATGTGATTCAGTTTTATTCATTACTTCAAAGCATGTTCGTGAGGAATGCTACGGGTTGTCACACAACATCTTCGTCATAGTTTACCCCTTGACTATTTTTGAAACATAGCAATGCAGGCATACACACGGACAATGCCTCGTTTCCACACAGTTTGGTTTTGTGTCCTATTTCTATATAATAGCCTGTGTGGAGTATGCCCCTGGTGGTCAACGCAAGGAAATGCATCTCTTTACTAAGGGATAGAAACACCACTGCAGAAATGGCAGAGAAGTTAATTATGAGTGTTGATTATTACCAGTGTTAGCTAGCATAATATGCTGTTGAACTTTTCTCATTGAAAAAAAGTACAAATAGAGCTGTATTACATCCATCAATCTGTTAGCTAATTTGTTTTTATGCTGACTTGAACAAGTGTTTTGTTTTCACTGTATTTGAGGCAAATTTGGGACTGTAAAAACGGTAAGGAGAAGTTTTGCAACACATCAGAGTTCTCATTGGAGAAATGACTCCTATTTGACTCACACATACTCAGAGTTTTGTAGAAACAAGGCATAATTTATCATGAACTATAAGAGTCACTCCTGTTTCCTTATTTCTTAACACTGCAAATGATTAAGCTTTTCTATTTCTTGTCCCAGTAAGTATGTCTTTTTATTTATGGCCTCTGGGCCGCACGGCTGCCAGAGTCAACACCGCTCTGCTGGGTCATCAGTTCAGTGGTACGTCCCTGTCGTACAGTATACACGGTGGCAACCACTGGTGTCCACAAATGACATGCTGACAGTCCTCCTGACGTCTCCCAACGCCTGCACATTCGTATGCATGTGTGTCCTGCTCCAGTAACCAAAATTTAAGGGGAGCATTAAGTCCACAAATTAGTCTTCCTACCAGGTTTTGGGCACCTGCAATAACATAGCAACAGCACAGCCTGTCTATTTATATCACAGAGCTGTCTGACCATTGTATATTCTCGAGTGACTGAGTGGTGGTGTGGAGCAGGGCGTAGTGGGTGGAGACCCTGACCCTTAGCTTAACTCCCTTCTGTAATTAGGTAGATGGGTCGAGCTTCGGGTCTTACTAGAGGGCCACACCCTCGCTCCAAATCAAAGGGTTGGGTGACCACACACACACATTTAACAGGCAAACACACAGAAAAGCATACCCCATACACGCTGACTTTGTTTGCATATGCTCTCTATTATGGCACAAATGTTAAGTAAGGACTGTAACTGTAGACATGTGTCTTGTTTAACTGGGTGTGTTTCACACAGCTGGATCAGGCAGATGTTATGTAATTTTTGACTTCACTGCAAGGCTGTCATGAGATATCTGTCTATAATCCACCCAAACTTTTTCACACTTTTTATTTTCTCTCCACTGTTTGATTTAAAAACTTAGCTCTGTATTCCTGCAGCAGAGAAAGTATAGGGTCTTGAAGCAAACGCACACCTTTCATTCTCTCGTTTTCGTCTGTGGTAGATACAGAAAGTACAGCAGGATGTGGTTAAGGATGAGAGAGTTTAGTCTTCACAGTCTGTGGAACCTGTAATCTGCTTTCACATACTTGTAGAACATTCCAGGGCAGCAGCAGCTCGGTAACCTTCCATCTTTTGCTTTGAGTCCCGTCCCACAGTAAAGCGAAGGCCCCTCGACTTCGACACTGCGCCTATCCTCTTAGCCGTTTTCACAACAGCCATTCCTGTGTGGTTTTCCGCTCCCACCTCGGCCTATTCTGGGATGTGTTCTTTTCCTAAGCTCTACTTAGCTGGGTCGCCAATTTCACAAAGCAAATGAAATGGTCTATGCTCTAAATACATGTTTATGAAATTCCCAAACTTACTGTAGCATTCCTGAAGCAGGCCAACACCAAAGGGAAAATTCCAGAGCCTGAAGGAATTGTTCTGGGATGATTCGGTCAAAGCTTGATGAGTAATTGCCGTACAAATCTGATATCCTCCACATTACACCAAGCAGTTTTCTTTGGTTTGTAATGAACTATGTCAGAAACACTATCTACCTTGTTTAAATATTGATAAAATACATTTCTTACAAGCCAAGCTTTTTCTTCTCCATGCCAAGGACTTTCCTGTGACAGTGTTCTGCTCCAAAACATTGGAGCTGCACCCTTTTCAACATCTCATTTCTTTCTGAATTTGCCCTTTTCTTTGCCTGGTTCCAAATTTCTCGATTGATTTTTTTTTTTTTTTTCAGGATTCAGAATCAAGCTAATCAGAAACCATGGATTACCAGAACCATCCAGAAACACGGGCAATAATAAAGCGGTAGCCTGCAATGTAAGAAGAGGCAAAAGGGGCTAAATTATAATGCATATGTTGACAGAGGTGATGAGATTGCATTTCACTAGAGGTGATTAATTGATTGATTGATTTTTGTAGGCAGAAGTACCAAAGCAATCATCAGTACCATTCAATACTCCATCAATACCAATCATCAGGGGCAGCTGTGGCTCAGGAGGTAGAGCGGGTCATGAGCTCTGGGTAGTGACCGAAAGAATGAGATCGCGGATACAAGCAGACAAAATGAGTCTCCTCTGCGGGGTGGCTGGGCTCAACCTTAGAGATAGGGTAAGGAGCTCTGACATCCGCAGCGAGCTTGGAGTAGAGCCGCTGCTCCTTTGTGTCGAAAAGGGGTCAATTGAGGTGGTTCGTGCATCTGATCAGGATGCCTCCTGGGCGCCTCCTGTTAGAGGTGTTCTGGGCACCTCCCACTGGTTGGAGGCCTCGGGGCAGACCCTGAACACGTTGGAGGGATTACATATCTCATCTGGCCTGGGAACACCTTGGGGTCCTCCAGGAGGAGCTGGAAAGCTTTGCTGGGGAGGGGGACATCTGGGGTGCTTTGCTTGACCCCAGATCAGTGGATGGAAATGGATGGATGGATGTAGTAGTTTGGTCCCTGGCTTCTCCAGTCTGCATCTTGAAGTATCCTTGGGCAAGATACTGAACCCCAGATCGCTCCACAAGTGCATGTCATTGTGTAATGATGAGCAGGTGATACCTTCTATAGTCTCGGCCAGTGTATGGATTTATTTGAAAAGGGACAATGTACATTTATCAACCCTCAAACAAATCTGAATGCACCCAAGCTAGCTGAAAAGCTAAAAGTAATTTTCATTTGGTGTGAATAAAAAGTCTTTGTGAAAAGCTGAATGTGGCGTGTAATGTAAAAGCACTTTGATTGGTTTAAGACTAGAAAGGCGCTTTACAAATGCAAGTCCATTTACTATTTACCCTTTTGTGCCAGAGCCTGAAATTTAGCGAAAATAGCAACCAGCGTGGATGAGACTGACGCAGCTGTACAGGTTGTTGTAACCCCAACCCTAACTTTTTGAATAAACAACAAAAGCATGAGTCATTTTTTCGCTGAAGTAAAAAGTCAAATCGGCAAATGAGGTGACTAATAATGTAGGTGGTAATGTGCTTTAGCAAGTTTTTGGACAGGGGCAGTGGATGGCCTTGGGGTTTTTTGTGTGTGTTAGATTCTAAAGTGTAGATGGGAGCTTCATTCATGTTAATTAAGTATTAAGGATATGCTTTATATTGGTTTGCTCTGGTGTGAGTAGAGTTTTAGTTTGTCGTCCTGAAATCTGTGGGAAAGACAGTGAGTTTGAGTGATGGGCCCCTAATTAGATCCTGTTGGATTTTTTTGATACATGCAGAAAATCACATTTATGGCAGTAATCTGCTTCACAGAGTTTTGCATTTTGTTCTGCCGTATAAATCACGTTGCCTAATAGCTCAGCTTTTACAGGATTAGCTTTTAACTTGTATTAATTGCACGTGTTGTTCAGAAAATTGTGAAGCGTGTTGATTTGTGACGACGAGATCACAGGCTTTTATTTGCTACACAGTTTTTCTTAATTTAGCGAAGACAAAATCCTTTAAAAAATCTAATGTGGGGGTGGAAGTAACACGCACGTACAAAATGTTGTCATTCCTTAATGGCACAGATTGTATACTAAAGCAATACCACAGTCTGCTTCATATAATTTATCAGTTGTGGATGTTTTTGTTTTGTATTTTGTAAGACTTTTTAGGGTAATGTATAGACTGTTTTACAATTCACTGATTAAAACTTAAAAGCAGTGCTGATT